ACATTTGTTGGAAACCTTGTATTGGCAAAGATCAGAAGGCGTGGCGACATTGTGTTTGATAACGCTATTTGGTAGTGAACAGCTGGGGAAGCAGGCAGTCTCATTACTGCTGGGATTGAGTAAACTGGAAAAACCCTTCCGAGAACAATGTGATGCTCTTTCTCAACATCACATGGGCACAAACTCGGCGATTCCACCCCAGGTACTCAAGATTTGTGTTCACCCACAGATTCACACACACAGGAAGTGATCCAAGGACCAGCAGTGAGATTTAATAGCAAAAGAATGGAAACAGCGTGTATGTCCATCAGTGCTCTCTGGATGGAATAAATCACAGTAGAGCCATACAATGGAACACTGCCCAGCCATGTAAAAAGTCAGGTGCTCTTTATGTACTGGAACAGAATGATTTCCAAGATATGTTTTCGGCCGGGTACGGTGGCTCATGCCTGTAATCCCCGCACTCTGGGAGGCCAAAGTGGGTGGATCACCTGAGGTTAGGAGTTCAAGACCAGCCTGCTCAAAATGGTGAAACCCCATCTCTACTAAAATACAAAAATTAGCCTGGCGTGGTGGCACGGACCTGTTATCCCAGCTACTTGGGAGGCTGAGGCAGGAGAATCATTTGAGCCCAGGTGGTGGAAGTTGCAGTGAGCCGAGATAGTGCCATTTCACTCTAGCCTGTGCAGGAATGAAACTCCATCTCAAAAAACAAGATATGTTTTCAAGATAAGAAAGGCAAGGTGGAAGGAGTGGAAGTGGCACACGGCCATTGTGGAAGAGAAAGGACGGAGAGATGGTGGGAGTGAATTTTCTTGTCTACACGGGCTGCCTGAGAGAAATCGTATAAGCATATGCTCAGATGGGTGGTCTCTGAAGAGAGTGGCCAGAGGGCGTGGGATGTGCTGGGGGCATTTTCATTACCCACCTACCTCTCACTTAATGAGGCAATGAGGACGTCTCCGGCCCTGACCCAAGATGCCCAAACCATTTTCACACTAGAAAAAATAATGGAGCTTTTGGAAACAGGTGTAGATGAGTGATAAATAGCATGTTGCAGGCAAAGAAATGCAGTTTTTATGTATAAATGTCATTGAATGAGGGCTTGTTTTACTTTCCAAAGGAGGAAAGGGGCTTGTTGGGTAGGTGGTGAGTGGGGACGGGATGTTAGGGAGCCCCTCAAGAGGTGTGTTCTTTCTGCACCATTTCTTCGTGGATTTTTCAAACTTTCAGGGGATTATAGTTATTTTGCCCTCAAATACCACTCAAAAATAAAGCTATATTACAGAAAATTACCGTTAGGGCAAAATACAGGCGTCACAGGAGAAGCTTTGGGATAAGTAGAAATAGCCCACCTGTGCCACAGATAACAGTGCTGTAGGAGACCCCCTCACAGAGAACGCAGGCAGGGCAAGGGCTTCGAGCTTCCTCCTCCTCGGCAGGCGGGCCAGGCTTCCTTCCTTGTGACAGGCTTTGATCTGGATCTGTTGTGTGGAATACCTGCCTTAGACAGGTGTGGGGTCAACGCAAAAGTCTTGTTTTTATGTGTTTTTGAGATGAGAAAAATGAGCGTGTTAGTTTTCTGATACAAATGCTCCTATAGAAAAGCAAGGATGAATGATGCAAGAGAGAGAGAGAGAGTGAGAGAGAGGAGAGAGAGACAGAGAGAGACAGAGAGAGAGAGAGAGAGAGAGACAGAAACAGACCAATGAACCGGGGCCCTTGAGAAAGCAAGAGCGCCCAGGAGCCAAGCGTTTTGGCCTTGGATGGGTAAGAGGCTTTTCCCTGACACATCAAAGAGGAGGGTGGAGAATATGGGGTGTCATTGCCGGCCACCATTCCTTATGTGGCTAGAGCTGGAGATGTCATTCTTGGCTATTAGTGCTGTTCCCTTCACCCTCTATGAAGTGCCGCAACAGCTATCTCTCTAGAATAGAAAGCAGTGATACTCCACTCTACAAAACACTTTTCAGTGACTCTTGATGACTCTTCAGGCATCTTCAGGGCCAAACTGAAACTCCCTCCTGACTCTGCTCCTGCCCATCCCAGGATTCTCATCCCACCCCCAACCCCACATCCTCTTGCCAGGCCAGCATTTGGTTTGCAGTCTATCTAAAATTTCTTAAAAGCAACATTCCGTTTCTCCAGACCTCAGGAAGCACTAAGATGTTTTAAAAGTTAGTGCAAGTTCATATACACCATGGAATATTATGCAACCATCAAAAACGATGAGTTTATGTCCTTTGTAGGGACATGGATGAACCTGGAAACCATCATTCTCAGCAAACTGACAGAAAAGCAGAAGATCAAACACCGCATGTTCTCACTCATAGGCGGGTGTTGAACAATGAGAACACATGGACACAGGGAGGGGAGCACTACACATTAGGGTCAGTTGGGGGGAAATAGGGGAGGGACAGTGGGGGGTGGGGAGCTGGGGAGAGATAGCAAGGGGAGAGATGCCAGATGTAGGTGATGGGGAGGAAGGCAGCAAATTACACTGCCACATGTGTACCTATGCAACAATCTTGCATGTTCTTCACATGTACCCCAAAACCTAAAATGCAATAAAATAAATAAATGGGGGAAAAAAAAAGTTAGTGCAAGTTGGTTTGTTTCTGCATAGCAGATTCCAATAGCTGAAAAGCAGTAAGTGAAATCACTTATTTGTGACCTCTTCACTTTTGGAACCCATCAGTTCTTCTGACCGATGCTCCCCCAACGCCCATAATTGATAAGGAATCCCGCTCGTCCATCCTGCACCCCTAGAACAGGTGGTCTCCCTGGAAGCCTCCACAGCCCATGAGATGAGAATCCTTCACTCCTCCCGCTGCCGCTCCACGCCCTTCTCCGCTGCTGCTCACATCACTCTGCATTTTACTTCCCAGCTGTCTCCTCTCCATTCCCTAAAGTAGGGAATTAATTGTGCACTTCTGCAGTCTTAGCAAAGAAACAGTAGTAGAAAATGCTTTTTTATTTTTAATTTTTTTTTCACCGGAATGCGGGGTAGGATGAAAGGACGGGTGGATGCATGGATTAGTTGGTATGGTAGAATGGTGGTCTCACCCATGGGTTGCATTCAGTGGCCCAGTGTTTTAGGATGTGTTCAAGTGCTGTCTAGAGTGGATAAGCAAAACAGCAGCCATAGTCATTGAAACATCTGCAGGAGCAATTTGCCTGCTGAGCAGTTCCTGGCCATTTCTACATGGAAGTTTAGCCTCAAGGAAGAGCCAGTGTGTTTCTGGCACATCAATTCATTACACTGATAACGTCGTGATCAAGTGTGTTTCTGCCACAAATGTTTTGATGAAATATTTGCCAACAGGAAGCCACAAGTGGGCTTTTAAGGCCTGATATTGATTTGGTGATTGGCTTTCTGATCTTGGTAGCATATAAGGAAGGAGTGGATGAATTCATTTAACTACATTTGTGTTCTGCCATAAGGGGCAACTTGGGAGAAACTGAGGTCCTGAAAAAAGCTATTTTCTTTTGGTCTAAACCAGTTCTCTGCAATTCCAAGTAAAATGAGTCAAGTTCATGTCTGTGCCAAGGAGCAGGAGTGAGGGTAGCAGAGGCTGAACCCCAGAAGTGAGTAGCTCTCGTGGGGGGTTCGCTCCTCACCACTGTCTCTCCCAGGGCCTGCAGAGGAGCCCTCTGTCCCTCCTGCCCATCAAGAAAAGTGGAGAACACTTATTGGCACCTTTCTGCCTGTCTGCACAGTGTGGAAACCATGGCCTATTTTTGAACTTATAAAATGCAGTAATTTACTAAGGGATTCTGAGTATAGAGACTCGTTTCTTCATCACTAGTAGTTGCTTGTCTAAGAACCTGGGCTGCTGCCCCTGTGAGCCTACTTCATAAGGAATGAAGGTGAGGGGCACACAGCGTTTCCTCTCTGGTGCCCACACTTAGACATCCTCAGGCAACTGGGGCATCTTCATGTCGACCTTTCTGTCGTGGTGAAGATGCCCAACTACCATGCACACTGCAGAGAACAAGCAGTAAGCCCTGCGGTTACCTTTTCACAGGTGGAATTCCAATGCACCTGGTGATGAAGCCACCTGAGCAGGTGAGGGTCCTGGCAACTTCTTGGTTTCCAGAAGGCTCACATTTCAAGTATCTGTCCAGTGTTAGGTTTTGAAGGGAAGGCGAGGATTAAAGTAAGGCAGAGTATTGGCAGCTCTATAGCCATTCAGATTCTCTGTCCAGCATAAGACCTGCAGATGGGAGCCCAGGTTACTGCCAGTGCCCTCTGCTGCTTACAGGCTGGGGCAATTAAAGGCCTGGGTGGGGGGCATAGCCTGCTGCCCAGGAATATGTTGATGAGATGTTTCATGATGAGGTGGTTGGTCCCTGTTTTGGGTGGGATGTAATAAGGTGTTCCTCGGATATTTGCCCAGCAGGATATGATGGGGATGTCCCTCAGCTGGGGCTTTGCCTGGTGGGGTATGAAAAAAACAGCAGGTGGTGGGCAGGATGTTTCTCATGGCCCGAAGCCCCATGGAATGTTTCACTTTGACCAGGGCCTGCAGAATGGTGCGGGCTTACAAAATGGTGCAGGATGAACTAATAGGCAGCATCAACAGAAAGGAAGCAACAAAAGACTCTATGTGCCCTGCGTCACTCACAGAACCGTGCAATTCCATCCTCACGACCCGTAATGCCTGCGTGACTGTCTTTCTCATTTCAGAGCTGAAAGTAGTGAGGATTGGTGTCAAAGTTCCTTCTAAGAGCCAGTAGAATCGCCCTTCCACTACTCTCTTTCTGACCGCAAGACATACAAACAGAATTACAGTTTTCAAAGATAGGGGTTCTAGCTTTTCCCTCCCTCGACACATGGGATAGCCTAAGGAGAGAGGATGGACTTTGCAGTCACACAGATGTGCACATACACATCTATGAATTCCACTCCCTGCTAACTGACCTTGGGCAAATTACCCCACGGAATCTCAATTCCCCACTAGAAAATACATAGATAATAATAAAAAGCAACTAAATGATCACTTAGTGGCTGGCACCTGCTCTGTGCTGGATCTCCAGGTACAGTTGGATGGGTCCAATCTGCACATTTCTATAGGAGATACCTGAAGACCAGTTTTGTTTTGTTTTTCCCCGGCTGGAAGATTTTGAGTTTTATAGCAAACCGTATTGTACAGATTCGGGGCCCAGGGGCCCAGCCTGGCTGGGTCCCCCGCTTGCCTCTCGCCGGGCTGCCTCCTCCCTCCCCCAAGCGGCCCCACACAACCAAGGCATTTCCTGGAGAATATATCCCTACTGTCTTTGATAATTATTCTGCTAATGTTATGGTAGATGGAAAACCGGTGAATCTGCGCTTATGGGATACAGCTGGACAAGAAGATTATGACAGATTACACCCCCTATCCTATCCGCAAACAGATGTGTTCTTAATTTGCTTTTCCCTTGTGAGTCCTGCATCATTTGAAAATGTCCACGCAAAGTGGTATCCTGAGGTGCGGCACCACTGTCCCAACACTCCCATCATCCTAGTGGGAACTAAACTTGATCTTAGGGATGCTAAGGACACGATCGAGAAACTAAAGGAGAAGAAGCTGACTCCCATCACCTATCCACAGGGTCTAGCCATGGCTAAGGAGATTGGTGCTGTAAAATACCTGGAGTGCTCGGCGCTCACACAGCAAGGCCTCAAGACAGTGTTTGATGAAGCGATCCGAGCAGTCCGCTGCCCACCTCCCGTGAAGAAGAGGAAGAGGAAATGCCTGCTGCTGTAAATGTCTGAGCCCCTTTTTCTTGGCTTTGTCCCTTGGAACCTTTGTACGCTTTGCTCAAAAAACGGTGGAGCCTTCACACTCAATGCCAACTTTTTGTTACAGATTAATTTTTCCATAAAACCATTTTGAACCAATCAGTAATTTTAAGGTTTTGTTTGTTCTAAATGTAAGAGTTCAGACTCACATTCTATTAAAATTTAGCCCTAAAAT